AAAACGTTTCATAGGCCAAAGGATTGGCCACAACACCCCAGAACTCCCCAACCTGCAAATAACATGAAAATCCAAGAGCTGCAGGGGTCCTTTGGACAATAAAACATTAAAACAAGCTGAACACAACAGTCATGCTCGCACCCCACCCCAAAACTGAGCTGCTATTCAAGTGCTTGAAGACTCTCTGGGGTTACTCAGTACCAGGGAGCACAATTTAGAGCAGCAAGGTCCAAACCTCACCAAGGTATTCTTTCTTCCTGGAAACAGCCACAGACCAACAGGCTGCGAGCTCCAGGCAGGTGCTGACACGTTAGACTTGCAAGTGATTTTTGCCATCAACGCTTTTCGAACCGCAGCCAGTTCCCACTCATCCAACTGTGGGTCAAAGACTGTCTTTTCGAGAGTAAAAGCCTTCACTGGCCCGACACTGCCTGCCATACTGCACGGCCTTTGGGCAGGAGGTAAAAGCAGAGGCACACAGGGTTAGGATTCTCTCACTTCTCCCTGCCTGTGCTCCAGCCAAGCTGTCGTTAGGTCTGTCCCGGGCTCTCCATAGCAAAGGTAGCTGCATCCTACTTAGTTCAGATCAGCACTTGCTGTTGCCTACATAGGTAATTTCCTGCACTGTGTCCCACTTTCTCAGCAAAATGAGCTCCCATTCAGCAAGGCACTTACTGCCTTCAGCAAGAGCCAAGCACAAACTCCAGAGCTTTGCTGATTAAGCACAGAGCTGACAATTCCTTTCCCTCTAGAGCACCTCACTTCGCAGGAGAGACCTCCACTAAATTTCTCCCCCCTCCTCGCTTTCCTAGTAATTTCTCTCTTGCCCTGGAAACATATATGACAGCAGTTAGAATCAGAATCTATGGACACTGCACAAAAAGATGTGTGCCAAGCACACGCCCCTGTCAAGGTAGATGAATAGCTACAATAGCAAAAGTGATTCTGATCACGTGTCTTCTCTTCTGGACTAGTTTTCCCTAAAATGGCACCAATTCAAAAGCGGTGGCACTGCTCTGGTTGACAAATCAGATCCAGCTGACTGATCAGGAGACTCCATGACTCAGTTTTCCCCATCTGTCTTTACAGAGGTGGCAGAATGCTCCCCAAATCCCTTAATAACTTGATTCCTGTGGCCATATCCTCATCCCCCCCCTCACTTCCAGAACTCAGACCTGTTCACCTTTCATCTGTGCTCAGTCAAGTTCTGCTTGGGTCTGTGATTCCTGCACGGAATCCAACTGGGGACCAGTCAGGGCTCACTCCATGCCAGCGACAAAATGAAGCTCTCCCAGCTTTAGTTACGATGCAAAGCCAGAAGCTGCTGCCATGCATACAGGGAGGTTCCTTCTGCTCACACCTCTGTTTTGCTGAAAATCACCAGGTCTCATTTATCCTGGAGCTCTACAACTAACTAATTAGCAATGGTGCTGACATTCCCTGAGAAGGTGGATGTGAAGTATTTGGAAGAGAAGACAGCTGTGTCCGGTCTCATGCTTCTAGTCAGAAGCATTTGACGTTAACTTTTATAACACTAAAAATCACCACAGATGAGTGCTGTTTCCCTCTTTCCTGTGCTGTCAAGAAGATCCTGAGAAAGCTCTAATTTTCATGGGAATTTACAGTTTATCTTTGAAGAGACAGTATCAGAAATACTCCCCAGCCTCATTGGCTTTGCCTCCCGTTCCCTTCCCACCTCCCAGTTTCTAGCCAATCTGTGAAACCAGGGTGCCGTGCGAGGAACAATGTACCTGGCGAGGCAAATGTTTCTTTGCCAGTTGCTGGAGCCCCCAGCACCATGGCTGCATCAAAATTCTTTCTGAAGGACTAGTTCTGGCTGATCTCGAGCCACAGGCTCGATGCCATAATCCCTACATGAAAGGGTTATGCAAAGGGTCAGGATAGGTGGTGATAAAGTTCCCTTCCAGCCAAAACAATCTACGAACCTCCAAGGAAATCCACCATCCTCTGGCAAGAGCCAGGACCAGACTTTCCGAAGCGTAACAATGTCTGGCTCCAGAATGGCAGAGGCAGTGCCTCTGAAGAGCTATGAAATCATCTCTTCTGCTTGGGAGGTTCAACAAGCTACGTTGGCATTGCCTGTAAGCTACGGAGGGCAAGACTGGAATGCTGGAAACAAAACCAGAGCAGATACGTTCAGAATGGCTTTAACGCTAATGTTACACTGTTAAAAAAGGAGGAAGGGGGAGTGGAACCAACCCCAACCAAAAGCATTTCACCTGGCTTTTCAATATAGTAAAAGTCACTTTGGAGATTTCCTTTGAACGTGCTAGAAAGCCGTTGTGCAACCCAGCCTGCTCCACAGGCCCAAGGTGGGAATGGCAGAAGCTGCTGCAAGTCAGGACCAAGGCACCTGAGCAGAGCCGTGTGGGAGGCGATGCCTCGAGTGGCAGGAGAGCAGCAGCTTCAGAGAGAACGGGAGCTGGCGGAGATTAATGAACGAAGTTCAGACAGTATCTGTCTGTAGGAGGCCCGGCTCAAACCAGGGCCATTAACTTGTTGCTTTCTGAACCACCAACAGGACTGGAAACAAAAGCTTGTCTGCTCAGCATGGTTCCTGTTGAGTGATTACTTAAATATTCCAGCAGAATGAAGAGCATGAAGAAAGGCAAAGAGCCACTTCAATGGCTGCAGGCTCAGAGGGCTGCAAGTTTTTGCATGAAGCCCGAGTCAAAACCAGGCAGGCAACTGGGATGTAGCCTTGAAAGCAGAAACAATTAAATTACTAGCCTTCATTTTCTCCCATTCAGGAGTTTAAATTTTAAGGGGAGTCCAGCAACTTTAAATAAATCATATTTATAATTAAAAACATATTTTCCTGCGCTGCTTACAAGCCTTCAGATGATTAATAAGGCATTTTTCAAATTACTTTAATTCACACTAATTATGCTGCTTGTTTACTCCAGTCAATAATTTTTCTTCCAGGGAGATAAAGCTATCCCAGGAGGAGGTCTCCCTCCAGGGACCGAGAGGGAAAGGACCCCAGGGAACTCCCCGAGGCCCCAGGGACACATGGGACGTCTTTCGCTGGAAGCAACAGAGCTGGTTACATGACTCCCATCACGTCGAACACTCACAGGGCTCCTTTTGCTAAGCCTGGATAAGATGAGGAGACATGAGCTCGCTCAGCTCCCAGAGGCCTTGAGCTGAGTTTTGCCTAGACCTTGCCTGAGGTACCAGCCTTGCCAAGGAACCAGGCTTTGTAGGTTTAGCACGGAAAGACAGCACAGCTTCTGGGCTGGGTCAGGTTTGTGCCTGGCAGAAGCCAAATGTACTTATAAAGAAGTCTTATCTCCTCCTGTTTAATTTGCAGATGCTGGAAAGTTTCTCAGGCCTTTAGAAAACAGAGCACAACAAACTGAACAAGAATCCTCCTCCCAGTTATTTGATTCCCTTTAGACATCAGTTAAAAGAGTTTGATAGCTATTAAAAAAGCTACGGTACGTTTCCGTGCCCGCCTCAGCACCGCAGCCTGCCTTTGTGCTGGGAATGGATTTGCTTCCACAGGAAGGGCTGAAATTATGTCCTGACCCAGAAGCCGTAGGGGACACACTAATACCTGCAGGGTGACAGAGTGACGTGGAAGTGGAAGTTAGGAGCTGATCGAGCTGCCATGTGACCCGCAGAGAGTATTGTCACACAAATTCCTATTCCAGTGCTTCACAAATCGTGCTGCTCCTGGTTTGACTCTCCAGGACTCCCGCAGACTCTCCAAAGATAGCAACGACATTTCCTCTTCCTTTTACCCTTACTCCCCTGTTTCAAGACATCACTTATTTCATAACCTACGTGTCTCTATAGCTGACAGCTGTTCTTAGGCAACCGTAAGCTACAAATACAAGAGTTTAGCTAAAAAAATACACATGCTTTGTGTACCACAAACTGCTCTTCAGCCCTTGTGGCTTTATGAGCTAAAGCAAGGTGGGAGACACCAGCCAAGGCTTTCCCTTCTTAACAGATGAAAGCAAGCACTAGTGAGACAGGTGATAACAGAACTGGTGGTTACCTAACGGTGGCCCAAGTCCCTCAAATCAGGCATGCAGAAGCATGTGAGTTTCTGTAGAAGCCCAATTTATATTAATCAAACCAGCCCTGAAAAGCATTACCACAAAATTTATTCTAATACCTGTTGTACTACACCCTAAAAATAACAAAAGAAAACAACCTGAGATAAAAGATACTTGCTGTCAAAGGTGGGGAAATACCTTCAGAAAGCCACAACGTTGGCTTCCTCTAAGAAATTAAGCAAGAGTGGTAAACATTCTTCAGATTTCTTATCAAAGACAGGTGTCTTATCTACTTGGGTTCAGCACACCACCATGACATGGTACTGCAGTTTGTGACCTGGGGGCCGCAGCCAGCAAGAGCAGTTTCCCCCTATTCAGGCAGAAAAAGCAGGTAATTCTGCACAAACCCTGGTCCCGTGAGCTGCTTGTGGCACTCTGCTCGCCGGAGGTGCCCCAAAACCGGCATCAGCCCCAAATCTTTGAAAACTTGAACCTTGCCTGATCTGAATTTTTAGCACTCGAGCTACAGTGTGCTTGTTCCCTGGAGTAACATCCTTGTGGACAGTGAGGGCAAGGCAGCATAATCTGCTTTCTTCACAGGTTACATCCACACCATGAGGCATCCATGGGGACGCTGGCACAGAGAAACTAGTGTGCTCTCACTTCCTGCCCTCGATCGATGTATTTCATTCAACTTGTGGATTTGCACAAACCTGAACGACTAGAAGAGAGGTGCAGGAGATAAGATGGTTAAGGGATTCATATCAGGACTAGTGATCGGTTGCAGAGAAGAGCAGATTTACCCTTCCTATGGATTTTGTTCCCAAGACAAGAGTACACAACACGGAGGTAAGGTCGAAGCTCTCCTTCTGTTTCATATGGAAATCCAGAGCACAAGTGACTTGTGGCTCGCTCAGCTGCTGTAAGACAGCACAATCATTTCTTACATTGTTAAAACCATAAACAAATAAAAAAACTCAGACCAGTAGCAAGACACCTAAAACACTGCTTAGTCTCCTCTCAGAGAATTCGTCCTTAGCAAAACTCACTTGAAGTGATGCTAGGCACTGTAAAAGGCACCGAGGTCCTGTGTGCACTGAACCCTATAAAACCACATCTCATCAGGAGGAGACACTGCAGGTGGCCACAAAGAAGCTCTGATCTAAAAATCACGCCCTGTGTCCTCACAGCTGAGAGGCTGCAGGCTTGCGGTACTTGCACTGGATCCATACTCGATACATCGTCATCTGTTTCCCACGGTTCACTTGTAATCGTCGATCAACCAGATTCTGGATTTTCTCCAGCCCAGCCGTTGTGAAGAGATCATCTAATTCATCTGGAAGCAGAGAGAAGCCAAAACTTTCATTTAACTGATGCCTGCTCACATCGAGGCCTAAACTATGCTGAAAGATGAGCCAGAGGAAACCCACAGTCTCACTCTGGCAGGGAAACTTGAAGACCAGACAGGACTTTACTGTACTTATGGGCGGATTAAGATCACGGTTTCTCTAGTTTCCCTTGAGTTTACCTTCTACCAAGGAAGGAAAGAATTATTTGGAGGACAACTAGAATTACAGAGTTTGACAAAGCCAAACCAGCAGCTGTTTCAGGCATGGGTATCGCCTGCGGTAACTGATTAGGGGAGCATCTTCTGGCGAGTAGGGACAAATCCACCCCTTCACCCTCCCCTCTCTCTCCAGAGGAATTTCAGAGTCTGCAAGGGCAAAGAACAGGATCAGACTCACGCTTTTAAAGGGTGGCAGTAAGATCAGCACTGTACAGGCTGGAGGGGAATGGGATTCATTAAGGTTAAGTTTGGGGAAAAAAAAAAAATCCTTAAAAAACCCACACCCTGTTGGGGCTCAATCAAAGCACTAAGAGCCCTCGAGGCTGCAACACTCACACTGGCAGGTATCCCCAGCCAAGCAAATAAGTATCATAGTGCCCCAGTACAGTGGCCCTGGGCAAAGCCAGCCCGAGTCCTGCTGAGCAGCAGAGAGCTTGTTCAGCTGCAGCCTGGGAGCACGTGATTTGTACAGAGTTTCTGTGGAAAAGGGCTAACAGGTCCCAGCTTGCGCTCTTTTATCAGATGCTTGCCATCACGAAGTGCTTGCCAAACACGCACAAAACATTAGTTCTGTTGTGACAAACAAGACTGGTGCAGCAGCGAAGGGACTAGTGCGTCGTGGCTGTGGCACCACTCTACAACTGACTATGCGGAGGGGCCCGTGGTGGAAGGGACTGGAGGTGTGACGGGTGATAAGCAGGGAGAATACAACCCCCACTGAACACCAAGTAGAATCAGAATTGGAGAGGTTGCCTCAGCTCTGTGCCGAACCACGCCCTTCTTATTTCCTCCAAGGAGAACAGTAAAGCTAAGAGACGTTCCTTGGTGTCCATCTCACTGCATAGGCAATGAGATTCAGGGAGACCTCATCCAATTCCACCCCTCCCAGCGTAGTAAACACACCAGTCTTCCTCTAAAAGGATCTTCCACTAAGGAATTCAGCGTGCAATAGTCGCATCAGCAAAGCGACGAGCTCAGGATCCTGCGCCGTTGGGAGACGCTTAACATTTCACACTGTTCCTAGAAAGACAGGCTGGAAAGAGCTACTGGCAAAACTTGTGGGCACAGGGACAAGAAGATATGAGGAGAATCAGAGGGATGTTTTCTAGTCTCCTACCTTGTGTGAAGAAGTAGACTCTGGTGCCATCACCTCTGACATAGAAGTTATCAGACAGACACTGACCTAAGGGCAAGAGGGATTTAAACAGTCACCGGCTATCACTTAAAAATCAACAACTGCCATCCGATAAAAGGTGCTTCTCCCAGCACACGCTGTGCTCAAGGGGAATTAATGAGCTGCCTCCTAAAAAGGGCAGACACTACTCCAGAGAAGCACCATCTATTAGTAATCTGGCAGGACTTCCCAGGAGAAAAGAAAATACCTTTCTTAAACCGAAGCTGGGCCAGATCATAACGGCCATAATCTCGTAACAAAATCATTCCTCCTGGTTTCAGAAGGCGACTCAGTCGGGTAACGATACGTTGCATCCTGAAAAAAGAAAAAACCAGAAGTATCCAATAATCTGCAAAATCATGCTTGTTTCCTTAGCCTACTTTCCAAAAAGAAGGTATGAAATTTTACACATGTGCCAACTTCATATAAACAGCTACCAAAAGCTAACACTTTTCTGAGCGCTCTCAGACTAAGCTGGGTTGATTTTATTTGTACCTGTGAATTTCATTTTCCTAGGCTTAATGGAAAACTGGACCAGACGTAGAACAAACGTTAATCTTCCCTGATATGAGGGGACTCTACTACCAAAGAGCTCCAGCTCTACACGTGTTATCTGCTGCAACCAGAAGGAATTACTAAAACTTACCTCTCTGGGAGAATCGCTGAGAGCACAAAGATAAGAATAACAACGTCAAGACTCTCATCTGGCATTGGGAAAGGACTTTGGTCATTGCACAGGTCATGGACAAACGCAAAGCAGCGAGAAGAATCGTACTCTGCGTTGTTCTGTATGCAAGGGAAGAGAATTTAGAGCATTAGCAGCAGACCCTGAATCTCAATGTTATCTGGACATGGGAGCATTTTAACTTTCAAATAATGAAGTGGTTTGTCCAGAGATCTGTTTCAGCCCCACTGGACTAAGGCAGATGGAGTCAGATAGGTTCCCTGGTCAGACAAGGAACAAATGTGAAAAACAAGTACACACGTGAGCCTTACAAAGAGCTTGGGACTTGTTACATTCCGACAATCAGCACTGCCAAACCCCCAAAACTGGATTGAGGGCTTATCGCAATGTTCAGGTCAGATCGTTCACTCATAGTGGGAAGAAGTGAGGGATTTACACTGTTAAGTGGAAATCTTTACAGAAGTGAGAGCATCAGGGTCCCTCTCTGCATCACTGAAATCGGTATTAATTTCAGCGACAAGCAGATTGCTCTCAATATCCCAAAAATCAAACCTGGCTGCCTAAAGTTACACTCCTAAAAAACACACTTAGGCTTCAAAAAGAAGTTGTATCATTTCCTAAGGCTGCTGCTACAGATTGCAGTAGCCTCTATAAACTGTGCTTGTGTCACCTTAAGAGGATGAAACGGCACGCTGCCTCTGCCGCTCTGCTCCCCATCTCATCTCATCTCATGAAGTGACTGATTACATTTGATACTTCATATATTCTCACTTCTGCTCTGACCTCAAATTTGTTAGCAGTGTTTGTCCTTTAACTAAATTCCAGCCTCCTGCTCCACAGACAACAGCATCCCTCCTCAGCGGTGTGTGCAGAAGCCATCAGGCCACATTCCCAGAACTGCAGTGACAGGAACGCACACACAAACCAAAACCAGCTTCAGCTCCTGTTAAAAAATAGCTTGAATGTTTTCAAGGTTCAGCAGTTACTCAGCTAAAAGACCGCTGAGTTTAGAAAACTCCTGTCAACCACAGGGGAAAGAAAATCTGGCTGACTTGTTTTCTATCAGTGTGACATTTTGAGAACTCCAACTTCCCCCATTTCTAGAGTCTTTGATGGCTCATTTTCCTGATTTACCAGTGCAAAGGTCAGCATCAGGGCTAGCTAAAAACTGAACGCTGCGAACACAGCTAGACAGCCGGTGGCAGCTGTGACATTTTTGTGTTAATGTGCAATTGTCACTGGGTGCTTCCCACGTTCATAAGTCACCATTGAGTTTACCTGGACAAGATCCACAGCTGTTGTAGAAAAATCACAGCAATAAACAAAAAGGCCTGGGTCGCTGAAATAAATAAAAGGAACTATCATCATTGACATAAAGCTGCTCCACGGGAATTAAGAAGCATCTCAAAAGCACAGAATCAAGAGCCAGAAATCCTGGGCTTTGGTCTATCTCTGTCAATAATGGCCTAGTGCAAAATCTGGTGGATCACTTGCTCCTTTATGCCTCAGCTGTTCCCATATGGAACTGGCTGCTAACTTTTCCTTCCAGAAACGGAGAGATACTGAGGGCTGTAGGAAAATGCTTTCAGAGCAATACACATAAACTTGCACCATGTTTTGTGGGTTGCGTTCTAAGACCAAAGATTTCCAAGCTCGAACCCCAATGACGTGAAGTTGCAGATGGCGAATGGACCATTTGCATCTGGCCTTTCTCGGAGATTGTCTAAACTAAGAACACATGCAACACTTTTCCAGTTGTTTTTCAGAGGCTGGTCTATCATACAGGTAAAAATCTACTGCGAATGACTTACTTGTTAGTTTGTAAAATTGGGAAGACTGTATTTCCAGCACCACAGCCAACCTGCACAAAAAGAAGTAGACGTATGCATAGTGAAAATAATCTCTACGGCATGTCCCACGCAGCTGATTTCAAACCGTCTCTCTACAGCCATGGAACAAAGAGCGACTCGCGAGTGACAACTGAGCACAGCAGCGACTATTTGCAAACCTCGCTGCAAGACCTGAGTGTGTTCAGCTCTGAGGAGCAGGCTTACGTATAAGCATTTGTGGGAAACCACTAAGCCAGTTCTCGCAGAAATCTCGCTAACAAGTTCTATATTGCTGCTCTTTTGAAAACTGTTATTGCCAGAATCCCAAGCATAACAACCACTATGAGTCACTGAAGCAGCAGCAAAAGCCACGGATTAGTTGCGTTCACTTCCACAGAAAATCAGAGCAACAGAGAAAGAAGTTTGCTTTACTATAATTACATCCTGCTGTTTCAGAGTTTCCTTCACTAGATGGCTCTTCCTCAAATTACAACTGGGCCTGCAAGGATTCTGCCGTGTTATTCTTTCTGCTTGCTCCCATCTGAAGAGAAGATGGCTCACACCACCGGGTTTGGGGAATTTGTCTCTGAATGTTTAAGGAATCAGTAAAATCGAAACAGACTAAGCCAAAAACACCACTGATGGCTTGCAGTGACAGATATTACTGAAAGTACTAGGGTGAGACAGGAAAGCCACAATGACCCAAGAACATCAAAGCCTGAGGAAGTCTCAAAGCCTCAGATTATATAAAAAAACCAAGGGGACAGTTCATATTGACTCTCCCTGGAAGGGTGGAACTTCCACAGAACATGAAGCATTCAACAAAACCGGCAATATCTACTGCGAACAAACCAGAGGTGGCAGAGCAGAAGCTCATAACCAGCTGTCAGGAGTCTGATATTTAGAAGTCCTACAGAATTTTCTGGGACAAACCCTGTAACAATCTGAGATTCCCCATTATTACATGTGCCAGAAGGAAAAAAAAAAAAAAAATCAAGCAGCATCTTTACATTCTTGGTTTCATTGTTTTCTTTCACACCTCCCAAGGCAAATGAGTCAGCACAAACATGCAAAACACAAATGACAAGGGAAAGCTTTATACAGACAAGCAAAATAATCAGCTTCTTCAAAAGATGACTTTCAAATGCTTGTTTCGACATCTGATAGTAATAGTTTGTCTTTTAAACTTGGTACTTACGGTCCTTGTGCTCTGCCAATTCACAGCTTGAACCAAAAGAATCCCAGCAGATTTAATTCAGTTCTAAGCTGCCCCCTGGTTTTCACATTTTACTGACTTAAGGCAACCATCCCATTCACTGTTTGCCAACAATACATATTTTTACACCCCAGTCACACTAACACGGATATGAGGGACTGTCTGACATGTGACTCTGCACTTTATCTATTACCTCTAATATACGATAAGACGCAGATGATCCTGGGTAATCTCCACCACTTTTATTCTGCTCACTGTGCTTCTGTGCAGCCAGCTCCTCTGCGCAGATCTTGGGTGGTTTCTTTATCAGGTTTAACTGATTCTCTGTCCCGGTTTCCAAGGAACAATGTCCATTTTCACAGCTTCCTATCCCCTCATTGCTGGATTCTTCTTTGTTACTAAATTTGTGCACTGAATTCCCATTTTGATTCAGGTTCCTATTAGGTGCCAGCTCAGGAAATTCAGTGAAGAGCCAATGCCTGTCCTTGAAGAAGCCATTTTCATGGATTTTATAGAAGTCATCCCAGTACCTCTTAGCGTTCACCTCATATTCCCCTGTGGACACAAACAAAAACGTCACCAGCAGTCAGATGGGAAGGTCTCAGAGTTTAATCAGTTCAGACAGTGAGGGATGCCTGCAGATGTCTATTCTGCAATCTTCTTCATTAAGTAAGGTTATTGATCGAAAATCACCTTTATTTAAATCGTGCCATCCCACACAAACACTCAGCCTGACTCCTCACAGTCACTTTCTTCAGACTAAAAAAGGGGAAAGAGAGAAGAGGCAGGATTTAAAGGAAGCTGGCAACAGAGAAGGCCTCTCTGAAGTAGAATGAAAGGAAGAAAACCAGGTTTTACTTCCACCTCTAATATTAACTTGTTCATTGCACTGGGATGATATATCTGGAGCCTCATGACACCAAGTGTCAAGCACTTAAAACTTCTAAGGGATTCTGTGACAGCTGCCTGGAGCTGAAGAGCTCCTGTCCAACACGTTACCCATTTTTTTTAGATGGAGAAACAGAAAAATTAGCCCGATACACAGTCTTGGCAGAAAGCTCAACTAGCATTTGCGCAATACTCCGAGAGTACAAGACAGCACGTTTTACACGTGTTGCTGGAGTCCAGTCTATAGCACTTTGTTTTTCACAGTTTTATGCACGTTAGAGCATCATGCAGTTATGAAATCAAAAGAGGGGAACGGACAGAAGTGACCACTGTCATTAAAATCATAGTGGAGAGCTAAGGTGGACAGACTATAAATGATAAGCATTAACTTTAGCAGCAAGCATTATCATTTTCACACCAAGTGGATACATTCCAGGAGCAAGATGAGTATTGCAGAGAACTGGAAGAACTCTTAAAAAAGCCATGATCTAACGAAATTTGTGTTACCCACACAATCGTTTCCACACTCCTTCGCAAATATCAGATCAAGTACAGTTCTAGGGGAACTATTTTTGACATGGGAAGTTATGAATCCAACTGCCTTCCTGAATTCTCATCAATGTTCTCTGTCCTGGGAAAGAAAAGCTAATTATAGCATCCTATGCTTGTAATCGCCACGGCCAGAGATCCCAACTTGCAGCCCCTCAGCCATCTTTGCAGAGCAACAATTAAATGATTCTCCCACAATTAAAGACGACGACTATACGTGAGAAGGGATTACTCCTCTCCACCATCTACAACGAGCAGGGTTAAGAGAAGAAGCGAGCCAGTCGTATGAATATTTTTAGTAGGATCTACCCCTAAAGCCCAAAGAGCTAAATATAAAAATAATCTCTTTACCTCAACTACAAGGATTTTCTCCTTTTAAGAAGCCTCGTCCTTAAACTGCAATCCAAAAGAAATTTTAATGTCTGATATTAGACTAGAGCAGTGAGTTCATGTCATGCTCTTGTCGTAGCTCAAGCAAGCAGGGTCGAGTCAGTCCACTATTTGCACAGAAGAACTCAAGGACTGCTAATGTCAGAGGAAGAAGTGTTATTGATTCATACCCTGTGCACTCCTTCATGAACTGTCGCTCCCTCCATGTACTAGTAGGGATATGCAAGGCTGCTGGGGCTGGAAATGCTGTTTCCCTTAACAAAAAAAATAAAGTCCTGATTCCTCCAGGTCCCGAACAATCTCACAACAGCACAATTGTAATGAGATGTTTACCTGAGATGCTGGGGCAAAATTCCAGCTCAGCCACTTTGGATCACCCGCATTTTTGCCACAGTATAATGCTGTGCTCTTCCTGTGTTAAATTATTGTGAAATTCGGTTGGAAGCTATTGAACAGCTGTTATAACCCAACCCACATGTGTGGATGTTTTACTTAAAGCTCATTTACCTCACAGCCTAGTGTTTTCAAAGCACGGGAATAAAGGATCAGTAACAACATAAATGCAGAAAATCAAGGGCCAGCTGACAAAGATCAAGCAAGAAACAGATTTAAAGCAAAAAAAGAACAAACCCCAAACCACACCATATTAATTTTTCAGTCTGCCTTCCTGCACAACTTATGCCAGAAACGTTCACATAATACTTGCTTCGAGATCCTTTTTGTGGCATTAGCTCATGGGGACGTCGGCGTGCGAGCCAGAGTCCTCCAAAGACTTTCTTGACAAGGACTCCTGACCTTTCTGCTCGTCTTTGTCAGGACACCCCCAAAGCCAAGCCCATACTCACCCTCTCACACTGCAGAAGAAGGGCAAACAAAAGTAACTGTTCACAACAGACAGGAAGAGAACCAGGGACCCCCTGAATTGCATCGGGGCTAATTATGGAGCCTCAAAAGAAAACCAAGAAACTCTTCCACTTCTTTCTTTGTTCGCAGCCAGGAGACACATCTTCGCCATACCCCACAGAACTTCTCTCCTTCTTCAGAACAAATTCTGACAGCCCCAAGAAGTCCACAGAATAATACAGCCATAATGACCAATAGCCTGCCTTTGTTCTCTTGCTTGGACATTAGTGATTCTCAAAATACCAGACCCTTCAGGCACATTTGGCTGGGCTGGCTTCTCTACGTTTCAGCCATCCCATTGTCTCCACACGCCTCCCACTGAATAACAACCATCAAAATTTGACCGGCCTCCATTGTTCAGTCTGGGAAATACATCATGAAGAGCTGACAAACTGCTCTAACAGCAAATTGCTCCACAATTTCAGCGTTGTATATAGGTTCTCAAAGCATGACAGACAGCATCCTTTAATGTCAACCAGATTTTAAAATGAACTTGACACAATGGGCATCACAATAGAAACTGCTGGATACTGCTGGGAATCCAAGAAATTAGGAGGGTTGCTCTTTGGTGTAATTAAATTTGCTATTGTGAACACAACTGGAAGCTATATCGGAAGTGTCTCAATAGCTTCAGTAGTGTTCAGCATCGCCTGAGCAGATGACACACTCCATTTAATTTGAACAAAAGGAGCAGATCCATCCTAGAGCTCGGCAGGGTACAACAAGATCGTCACCGAACAAGGCTCTTAACGGGAAACCTTTCCACCATCTTTTAAGGGACTGGGTGATGTCTAACAGGTGTGGTGGAAAGCTGCATTATTAACTCACTCAGAACAGTTTCAACCACACTACTTGGCTACAGAGCCGTGCACGTTTAGCTGATTCAGATTCAGGTAAGCTCTGCCTTCTGGATATATAAATATCCTTTAAGCCTAATCTGAGAAAATAAAAATCCTGGAACCACCTTTCTGCCCCTCTGATGAGAAGCCCTTCAAGCAAGATAAAACAGTTTTTCTTCACTCCTGATTTAATCATTATCACACCATTTGTTAACTTGGGAGAGATGAATATGGACACTATGTTATTAGATCCTCTTCAGAGGAAAACTGACCTTGAATTAGGGATAGCCCCACAACACACAAGCAAACAAATGACTGACAAGAGGGAATAACACTACAGTGGAAGAAGTCTGTTGACAAGGAACACTAACAAGTATTTAAACACAGACAAAATGAACAAAAAAGCTCCTCCCAACCAAGACTGTTTTTGTTCCAGCAGGATGAGTCTCTGGAGGAGGTGGAAAAGTCAAAGAGAGGTCAAGTAAGAATGGAAAAATTCCTTCTCCTCCATTTTTTCATTATCAACAACTAGGTAATGTATTCTGAATGATTTGGGAGATGAGGGAAGAGAGGAATAGGTGAGGAAGCACATGTAGCTCTGGCCTGGCTGTTCTGCTCTTGTACGGACAAGCCAAGACTTCACATGACGAGACTTTCCAAAAGTACCTTGTTTGTCTTGTGGCAATAGCTGCGAGCTGTTCTCTTGAACTTTACTCCTGGCACTGGCTTCCTGCTCTTCTGACCATTCCACATTATCCCTGTTGTGAAAAATAAAACGAACTACTCAGCTGAGAACAGTAGGGCAGAGATAGGGAGAAAAGTTCTCGCCAGCCCTCCAGATTGACAGCTGTGGAGCTTTCCCACAGTCTAATTCTAGCTCAGCAACAGCGTAACCACAACCAGCACACGCGGTTCCCAGTTCCACAGCACGACAAAAGACGTGACTAGAAGGGATCTACTCAGCCGAGAACAGTAGGGCAGAGACAGGGAGAAAAGAGAAAGTTCTCGCCAGCCCTCCAGATTGACAGCTGTGGAGCTTTCCCACAGTCTAATTCTAGCTCAGCAACAGCGTAACCACAACCAGCACATGCGGTTCCCAGTTCCACAGCACGACAAAAGACGTGACTAGAAGGGATTCCAGGAGACACCAAATCTGTCCCCTAAATGTTTTCCCTATTTGACACCAAATCTGTCCTCCAAACCTCTTCCTTGTCTGATGCTTCGCCAAGCTTAGAGGAAATAAATCCTCATTATAAATTCATAAGCACAAGCAGAGCCTCCTTGGAGAGGAGTTGCTACTCTCACGCGGTGAAAAGCACTTGTTCCTACACGGGTGACAGGCAGGCAGGTGCTTGCAAGCTTTCGCTCAAGCAGGTCAGCAACGTGGGCCCTCTGATTTGGCTGTCTTAGAAAACTCCATTTTCTTTCTCAAGTTAAAACAAAGAAGGCAGTATGGTTATTTGGAAAGTGTTATATTAATATTACACACAATTATGAGAAAAATACGCAGGGCACTTTAAAGCATTAAGAACTATTAATAACTTAAACGTGCATACGTAGTTGGGTAGTCATTAAAGTGATTCACTTGACCTTTTTTCATTAAAACAAGTGAATAAAAAGCAGAATACAAGGACCAAGGCAACACTATTCTGGCCTCAGGAGAAATTAGTCTTTTGATATTAACTCACAAAACAAAGATGTTAATGTCAAGCCTCTGAAAAAACTAGATTACTAGGAGTTTCTACTGGAAAATACTAGTCCCAAAATGAATGACAAGCTGATACATGCACATATTACTTTATTACAAATTAAACACACCCAATTCTTAATGGGGTATAGCAGCCAGAGACCAGAAGTGGATATATTTACTAAAAAAAAAATACACAAAATACCTTCAGCTTCTAGCAAATTCAACAATAAATATCTTAAAAAGGCAACTTCTCCAACCAGACACCTCCTGTTCTGAGCTAACACCGGGCACAACCTCACAGCATTGTGTGGCAGCAGATGGGGGAAACGATCTTTGTTGAGTTCAGACACTAGTCACTAAAGTGTACAGATGGAAAAGGGTTACAGATTCCCGAGGGCGGCTAATTTGACTTTATTAACCATAGCAATGAAACAGGTGCTACAGATCAAGGCAACACATTGCCCTGAAACATTTAGAGAGCCTGAGGAATCCCAGCGGCTTCGGGAAGGCTCAGGACTCCCTGGGACGAACCATCCTCAAGCACAGTCCGAACAGGGTAAGGCCCTCCCGCCCCTCCAAGCCCGCTCCCCGCCC